AACCAGAACAAAACCAGACCAGAACCAGAACAAAACCAGACCAGAACCAGAACAAAACCAGACCAGAACCAGAACCAGATTGGAACCAGAACCAGACCCAGACCAGAATAAGAACAAAACCAGACCAGAACAAAACCAGACCACAACCACATCAGAACCAGACCAGAACCACATCGGAACCAGAACCAGACCCAGACCAGAACCAGAACTATAACCAGAACCAGACCCAGACCAGACCCAGATCCAGCCAGCAGGGTCGGGTCAGACCGCTGTACTACGCTGCAAAAACAGTTTAGAAATTAATCAACATTTCAAGCGTCTCTCTTTCCTCCTGGAAGAAAGAAAAATGTTCTTATTTTAAGAAGAAATTGTTTATTTAGATTTTATTTTATGCAGGATAAACACAGAACTGGGAAATATTAAACATGCAAGAATTACATCAATAAGTTTATTTACAAAAAAAAAAAAAAAAAATAATAATAATTGTAATGAAGTTAACCAAATTCTTTGGATAGAGAAATGTTTTAATTTGTGGTTTGATGGGAGCGATGAAGAACACGCTAGAAACAGGCTGATGGGTGGAGGTCCAAGGAGTGGAAACCACTGCCAGACTGGGAGCTTCATACTGGGAGGTTGTAAAGGATGTAATCAATCAATCAATCAATCAATCAATCAATCAATCAATCTCTGCAGGTAAAACTTCATCTTTGTTCTCCTCCTGATCTGCAGCTTCTCTGGGTTCTGATTGGACCTCAGCAGCCGTTCCTGCTGCTCTGCTGAGGAACTTGGAGACGGAGTGAGATGAAATGACCTTCATCCTCCTCCTCCTCCTCCTGCTCCTCCTCCTCCTCCTCCTCCTCCTCCTGTGTCACCAACACACCTGAGCTCTGCAGCTCTTTGTCTCTCCAGCTTTTGTTCGACGCTCCGGCGATGAAAATAAAGTTCCTTTTGTTTTGGTTTCTCTCGTCTCCTTTCAGAGCTGCTCTCTGATTGTCTGACTGGAAAACAAACATGTTTTCACGTCTGGATGTTCTGAGGTCCCCCCCCCCCGCCATCAGCGGCGGATCCTCGCTCATTATCAGCCTTTGTGTTTCTGTCAGGGCTGATTCTGTTGGAGAACTCAGCTGTGGTCCAAACATCTGCATGTTTCTGATATTTCTCTAGCAGCTCAACCTTCAGCCCAGAGAGGAAACAGATTTTATTTTTATTGCTGATGGAAAGCAGAGGAGGTGGAACCTTCAGGGAGAACCTCACAGCCAGCGGCCTGCACACGCAGACATCTGCTGCTGAGAACGTTGAAACCGAAGGAACGTTTTAGCTGAATAGTGAAGAACTACAAGCTACAGAGCCCCCTGCTGCAGGACGATGCAGCTGAGAAGGTCTTTGGACAAGAAGCTCTAAACGAAGCCTCTTCTGTCCATGGAAACCATCGGGGTCAGACTGGAGATCTGCAGGAAGGAGAAGGATCCAGCAGGGATCCACCTGAACCCCTCAGAGTCAAAATCCTCCATCCAAGTTCTGGAGAAGTTAGGAAGAGTTTTGGCTTCAGCTTCGTCTCCAACACAACAAACCCTGAAGCTTGATGAATATTTTTTTTTATCACTTAATTTTTATTTAAATTTTTGCAACTTACACAGACATATAAATACAAGCCTACATTCAGGCTGCCGCTCAGTATGGTAAAGTTTAAAAAAAGAACAAAACTTTGAAAGTATATACAACAAGTTAGGCTTAAAAGTAAAGTAGGTCACATGGTTAAACATAAGTAGCTTACAAACATAAAT